TGTTTAATTAAAAAATTTATACTTACGCTTTGTTTATATTGTTCATTTAGTCAAAATTACAAGTCATTTTCATTATAATGAATTCTGTTATTGTAAAAGTTCTTTCAATATAGTGAATTTGCCAATAAACTCACAATATAACAAATTTTTAAAAGGATCTTCTATAGTATAAATAGGAAAATTATAATTATTATAAAATAATAATATTAACCCTAATTAAACTTAAATTAGTTAAAATAGTTAGTTATTTATATTATAATTTTATTTGTCTATCTATACTATAGTTCAACCTACTTTTTAACTGTAATATTACAATTTAGATATTTTTAAAATAGTTTATAATTAAATCTTCTTGATTAATAGATAATAAGAATTCAAAATTTGAGTCACATTCTTAGTCTTGAATAAATTTAAATCAGAATAACACAGCTCTTATTTTATTTATTTATTTATTTTATAAATAACTTGATTCTTCGCTCAATATTAATTTTTTTTTTTTTTTTATTATATAAATCTGAGTCAGAAATAAGTCTTCGTGTATCTATAAATTAGGTCAAGTATCAATTGCTTCTTTCTTTTCTTTTGTATAAATTGCTTGATTCTTTGCTCAATACTAATTTTTTTTTTTTTTTTTTACTACATAAATCTGAGTCAGGAATAAGTCTTCGCATAGCTATAAATTAGATCAAGTATCGATTGCTTCTTTCTTTTTTTTTGCATAAATTGCTTGATTTTTCACTCAATACTAATTTTTTTTTTTATTACATAAATCTGAGTCAGGAATAAGTTTTTGTGTAGCCATAAATTAGGTCAAGTATTGATTGCTTCTTTCTTTTTTTTTGTATAAATTGCTTGATTCTTTGCTCAATACTAATTTTATTTATTTTTTTATTACATAAATCTGAGTCAGGAATAAGTCTTCGCATAGCTATAAATTAAGTCAAATATCAATTGCTTCTTTCTTTTTTTTTGCATAAATTGCTTGATTCTTCGCTCAATACTAATTTTACATTTATTTTTATTACATAAATCTGAGTTGGGAATAAGTCTTCACATAGCTATAAATTAGGTCAAATATCGATTATTTCTTTTTTTTTTTTTTTTTGCATAAATTGCTTGATTCTTCGCTCAATACTAATTTTACCTTTATTTTTAGGATAAATATAGTTATCGCAAGGTGCTATATAGCTATTTATCACACTTTAATAAATATACATAAAATTTAATTAAATTAATATATAATACATATAACTGAATTAAGCTAAATTAACTAATTAAATTGACTAATAACATTTACCCAGGTTGTTTATAACTACTACGGGTAGCTACTCTAAATTTAAACTATACTAGATGCCTCAGAATTAGGGTTGTTAAACTTCATATAATTTACTAACATAATTACACTGTAATTTACGATTTTTACAGTGCAATCCTGAACAGATATTTTCATTTAATAAACGGCTATGATAAAAATTTTAGTGATCCTGAGAAAAATTGATCATTTCTGGCCCTGCCAACTAGAACTCTAATATATTCTGACCAGAAATTGCTAGGTGAAGTTGACATTAATGCTATATAGTAGAAATTGTCATATGATTTGGCCAACTTTAATACCTATATTGTAACTTCCGGAATTAAGTTATTTCATCAACAGCTCTAAATGGTATTAATAAATTTTGCCAAGATCACTTAAAATTCATTATACTAATTCTCATATATGCTAATTTTAATGTGTTTAGTTCAAAATCTCGAAAACATAATCCGGAAGAACGAAATCCAGAAAAAAATTAACCAAAATTAAGCTAACGCTAACCTAATTCGGGTTATTTTTTCGGGATTTTGATCTTTCAGGATTTTGTTCATCGGGATTTTGTCCAGCTCTCATTTTAATCCCAGTTCTAATGCAACCGGGTAACTTTACCATTCAAGTTTATTTCTGATCATACAATATGATTTTAACGAATACTGTTCTATATTTAGAATGATGTAATGAAATGATGTTAATTAAAATCATAATGCATGATCTGAAATAAATTTGGGTGGTAGGCATGTCTTTTTGCAAATTAGTTTTGCCCTAGAGTTCTAATAGTTAACTATAAATCAAGCAAACTCTAACTTGAGATTGGTCAACTTTGATAGCAAAATATAAGATGGTTAAAAAAAACACAAATTTCATTCAAAAGAAATTTTACAAACGTACTGAATAAAAGAGATATACTTTCTTTTTACTTAGTGCTATAATGCTAGTCACGCTTATAAAATTCTCTTAATAAATATACAAGGTGCTATATGATTATTCATCGTACTCAAATCTTATTGGCCAATTAAAAAGATCTTCCAGTGTGCGATACTACTATATCTCACATGCTTCCAAAACAAAAACAGAAATAAAAATATTAAGTCATAGCATCTCTTTTCTAGGCTTAATGAATCCAATAAATATGTCAGCTACTTCAGAATCTGAGTTGATCGAATTAATGAATTCTATAGTCACATTCGATTATATTGAAAATAGTTACATGAATCTAGAAGACTTTGAACTTGATGATTCTTCAGATAACACAAGAGAAAGTACAAGTAATATGGATATAATTGAAAAGAATGTAGTTAAACCATCTATGCCAGAACTATCAGATACAAATAGTAAGACACACATACCAATGCTATTCAATTATTTAATTTCTTGTAATACTGCTTAGAACTAATATAAATACCTTTATTAGTTAAAATAAAATTAGAAGACATACCTATAGATATAACCTTCAACTCATAGGATGAGGTTGAAACTTTTTTTTGGAATACAGTGCACGAAACGGTTTTGCGGTCAACAAATATAGAAAAAAAAGTTCTAAGACAGGAATAGTAAAAAACAGAACTTTTTGTTGTGAATTTTATAGAACGTATAAACCTAAAAAAAGTTTGACAACAGCCCAAAATGGAACACAACATAATACAAAAATGAAAAAGAAAAATTGCCCTTGGCATTGTAATCTCTCGTTGGGTCAGACCGGGCTTCAAATTCAAATTACGACACTAGATAATAGACATAACCACATCCTTGTACCAGAAACCCAAAATTTGGATCTAAATACCGGGCTTTAAACGAAGAAGCTATAAAAAAAATTGAAATAATGTCTAAGCATAGAAACTTATCAATTATATTACAAAAAAAGCTTTTTAAAGCCCATTTTCCAGATTTGAATATTCAAGATAATAATCTTGCTAATGCTATTAGCAAAATCAAAAGAACAAATAACCTTAATAAGGAAAATGATGCATCAACTTTACTTATCTCATTAATGGAAAAAAAAATAAGCGACCCACGATAGGCAGTTGAATTTGAACTCGATGAAGAAAATCATCTGATTCGACTCTTCTGGATGTCACCAGAACAAATAAACTTTGGTTGAAGTATTATGATGTGGTGGTTAATGATAATACGGCACAAACAAATCAATATCGAATGCCATTATCTCTCTTTATTATTGTTGATAACAATAATAAAACAAGACTTGTAGGTCAAGCATTGGTCACTAATGAAACACTAGACACATATATGTGGATTCTA